ACAAAACTCCCAAACGACCCTAAGAACAAGACTAACGAAACAATCTTTAGTGCAAAAACTTGTTTGGAGGTGCCTAGCAACCAAATAACAAAACAAACGCAGTTCCGAATAATTCTGCTCAGAGAGTCTTCCCGAGAGAACCACGAAGATAAACAGCCAGATGCTAAAGCTACACAATCAAATTCCCATCTTTCAATAAATTTTTGCTCAATAGCAAGAGGAGGTTCGTTAACATCTAAAAACATTCCGGCCCCCTTCTGCTTTGTTCACCTGCACACTCCAAACCCTAAAGGAAAATAAAGGACTTCACGGACACTACAGAGGAGGGGGAAATACACTAAATGAGGTACAGGTACAGCCTAAATAAATTTACAATATTAATACAGAAAAAGGTATTTATTATTGACTTTACAAGCAATGGGAAGCCCTGCGGAGTTATCAAAATTCCTTGCCAACAACAAAACAGTTTTTTGGTTAAATATATCTAGACAACACAATGTATGAAATGAAACTAGACTTGCATTTGACATGTCTTGCCTGCTCTTTGCCTTTGCATGTCTTTCCCTCAGGTACAGATTATTTCCTATGCCTCCTTTTTGGCTCTGCTCTTTGTCTTTTCTCGTCCTCCCATTCTCGGTCGTACATTCTAAACCCTGGTTAAGGATATAAATTATCACATAAAATTTAAGGGCTGAAATGCATACAGATCGATTACACGGCCAAGGTAAAAAAAAAAAACAATAAATCCAAACAGTTAAGGTTCATTGCATCGAAGAAAATAGATGGATGCTAACGCTGTAATGATTCTTATCTTATCACTTCAAGAAAGTGCAAAGCATGGAATAAACACTGCTTCTATGCCATTCCCTCTTAATTTACCTTAATTGTATGGTTTGACAAAGGAATAATAGCCACTCTTCCAACCAAATGAACCCTAGTTAACTGAAAGAAACAAATGCTTTATGGTGTAGCATGTTATCACTAATCTTATAATGCCAATGCAGCAGACGAGCATACAAATCAGAATCCGTTTTGGAGGTAAGATCATGCAGCTAAATTCATATGCATATCTAGATTACTGTGGATTTAGTTCTAAGGATACTGCTCTGTGTCTCGACGAGCCATCTTGCTGGCTGCTTCTTTACCATGAATCCTCATACTTGGATCCTCCAAGTAACCAGGCCGTTGGATCATAGATCCTTTCCGGTCTCCCCTATCTCTTCCATCATATGATTGTGACAAACTGATAGCAAGAGGAGGTGGCGGAGCAACTGGAGAGTATTCACCAGGCTCCCCTGATGGTAAATGCTCTCTCTTAAGTTTTCGTCTCTTTGCAGCAGTGGCATCCATATCTTCCTTTAAAACGTTTGCTCTTTCTCTATCCCTCTCCTTTTCTCTGTCTCTCTCCCTCTCATCCACCTACATATGGCCACCCATATACATAAGCAATAACCTCAGACCATGACAAGGAACAAAAATAGGATGCAACATACAACATACGGCCATTCAGATCATAAATATATGTAGCCAGTGAAGAGTAACGTTCCCCCCAACCCCCTTTCAACTGTAACAGAAAATAATAAGAAACTTTAACTTCCAGATAGGCGCACACACATTAAAATGCATGAGAGACCGTGGTTGTGCACCATCAAAAGGCTTATATGACAAAGAATTCACCTCTCAAAAATCTTTACAGAAATAAATCTGAAAGTAAATAGAATGAAGAAGGGTTAGCTGATACATACCTTCACTGACAACCCCTCTCTTTCTTCTCTCTTCCTATCTCGGAAATCATCCTCTCTTCGACGCTTTACATCATCCTGAGAAACCACAGAATTTTCTTCTGAACGTTTCCGTTCCTTTTCTTCATTCCTTGGAGAAAGCCTCTGAGCATGTCTGGCACTTCCAAACCTTCTATCAGCATCATCATCTCTTCTGCCAGCAGCATTAACAGACTGAGGGACCACATGAGGAGGTAATGGTGGCGGTGGAGGTAAACTTTGCACATGAAACCTGTCATCAATATGAGACTTTTCTGCTGATGTATCTGTGTATCTTTGTTTACTTTTGTCATCTTTGCTCCTTTCATCCTTTGCTTTGTCAGTAAGTCTTTCCGTAGTCCTATCATTGCCTCTCTCAACAGAACGCTCTCTTCCATATCTCTCCATTGACCTATCCCTTGATTTTTCAGGCAATGCATCATCTCCACGGGACTTGTCAGGACGCTCTGATCTTTCTCTGTGTTCCTTGTCATGTCTTTCACTGCTCTTATCCTTTGCTCTATCCAAAGGCTTGTCCACGGCCCTGTGGCTAGATAATTCATCTGCCCCTATCTTGTCAAAGTCAACCAACCGAGGATCTGTCGACCTCTCTCTATCAGCTAATCTAGCTTCACTCTCTAAATCTTTCAACTCAACATCCCCTTTACGACGTTTGCTTGATCTATCAGTTTCCTCAGTAGGATTGGTTCTCTTTTGCAGCTTATCACTAGACTTTGAACCAGCAGCAGAACTATCATGCCTAGGAGAATGAATACTTCTGGAAGACCTTTGTGTATCAGAAATATCATCTTCTTTTCCTGCAGGCAAAAAAAAAAAAAGTCATATTGTATGACTTAGCAACTCCAGTACCTTCCTTTCACTGACTACCGACGACATCTAATATTTTTCTTAAGAGGTTGAACCTTTAGATGGGGCAAAAACTGTACTACCATTGGCTGGTCCTGTTGAGGAAACATTAGCAGTCACACCATGTCTGCCCTCTGATGCATGTGGGGGAAGATCTCTGTCACTGTTGGAAGTTGCAGCACTTCTTCCAACGGGTTTCCCAGACTTAGCATCGTCTCTTCCGGGATCTAGCTTTTGTGGCTTGGTAACTGATACTGCAGAAGCTGACCGCTTGGCTGAAGTTTTTAACTGTCAAGAGACAAAACGTGGAAAAAAACGAAAGCAAATCACATTCTGAAAAGGTAGATATTAAAAGTATTAAAGAGAAAAGAACAAGATGGAGAAAAAGACAGAGAGAAAAGAACATGAAACAATTCTTTAATCCCTTTACAAAGTCAAGGCAAAAGCATGAATAATTCAGAAGTGTTCAGAACAATATCTCAACATGTACCTTTTTTTTTTTTGGTCCGCATATCTCAACAAGTACTTTTCTCTATAAAAACTGAATAGAATCCATTTGGCATGTAGTCAATGATGATAAAATTAACAAAAGGGATATGTACTTTCCAAATTGCTATTTAGATAGCTCTAATTGCAGTAAATAAGTTAATAAACATAGAAGCAGGTAACTAGTTTGATTAATTCACTCTTCCTTCAATCTCCATTTTCTTATATAAAGCATCATCAGCTTGACTTCGATGAGTACTTTATGCTGCTGTAACACCGTCAACAATGGTTTTAAAAAACTTACAAAATTTAAGAGCAAGAGCAGCAGGGGCCCAGTTCTTTCTTGTCACTAAGGGAACCATTGAGTTCACAACAAAAACAAAATTTAAGGAGTTTTAAGAAGAAGTGCTTCAAAAATAACCTCATAATCACAACAAAAATCACTCCAATGTTGCAGGGAAAAAAAAAATCTGACTAACAAGTAAAAACAAGTATCCAATTAGTACCTCTGATTCAGCAGAGTTTCTTGGTGCAACTTTTGTCACGTTATCATCTGATTTATTCGGATATTCATCTAATTGCTTCTGATTTTCCATTAATCTTGATGTTCCTGCTTGTGAAGTAGCTGAGGAAATGGAGGGTGGAACATCTGCTCCGTTGGCTGATACAGTGCCTTTCATTTTTGGATCAGATTTCACATGTGTAGCATTTTCAGCTCTTTCCAACCGCCCATCAGATTTTGTTCTTGGGATCTGATCTTTGGCAGAATTCCCAGAATCTGCCAGTGGGGTTCCAAAGGCAACTGTTTTGCCCCCAGCAGCATCACCTTGCGATATATTTAGTGATGAACAATTTTGCACAGAGACTGAATTACCAGACTTTGAAGCAAGTGCTGGAGCTGGCTTCAGTTCAAGATATCCCATCCCAAATTCTTCATCCGTAACCCAAGAAGACTGCACATAATGAGAAAGTTCAACACATGTTAATGGGTGAACAGCCGAGAAATTATTGGTGCAGCTTAATAAAATATATGTATATGAAGGAAACTAACAGAAACAACTTAATTTCCAGCCTTGATATAGACAATAGAAATGCTGACCTTCCTAGCAGCCAATGCAGCAGCAACACCTGTAGCCAACACCTTGAGATCCTCTCTTTCATCACTTTTGATTTTAGCTACCTGCATTTAAGATGGGGTTAAAAAAGAGTGAATACACTAACTGATCTAAATAAAATTCATAATCAAACAGCAGCAGATGACTCTCAACATCTCTTACTCGTTTTTCAAGGTTAATCCCACTCTTCCTGGTAACAGGGAAGACAGAAGAGATTTTTGTCAACATTATCAGAGCATTACGGATCTCCATATATTCAGTTGATTCCAAGCATTGGACCAATAACCTAGTGATCCTTTGACTCCATTTCCAGTGCACCTATCAGCAAAATGATCAAGGAAACACAATTAAAAGTCTAGCTGCAGCATATATAAAATGAAACTTAAAATTCAAGGCAAGCATTAGTGATACAAAGAAAGAAAGCATCAAATATAATGCTATCACTTTAAGTGGGCAGTGGACCAGATGCAACAAGCAAGATACAACAGTATTTCAAAAGCTACAAAATAACACAAGTTTTGGAGGGAAAGTCTAACACCAAAATCAGGAAAATAGAAGAAGAAAAACATTTAGAGTTTGCTTTCAAGAGACAACTTCTTTTAAGCAAATCACACTAAATCATATAATTATAGCTGACTTTATTCGGCAAGATCATTCTGGTAATTACCAATATCCATTATACAATGAAATCATATATATATATATATATATATATTTTCATGGCATCTTCAAGATATGAACAGTCCATTCAATAGTCCAAAGAAGTAACCCCAAATAGGATCTAGAAAAAATAAATCCTACAATGAATGACAAAATAAGTTATTTTCTTTCACCTCATTACAGGACTTTACAAAAAAATATGTTCTAAAGAGACAAAGATGAGAATTGGTTGCCAACAAAGACAATGATAGACATTACAATCATAAAAAAGTGATGTGTGCATGGAAAGATTAGGATATAGAACCAAACAACTACCATTTTTATCTCACTTTTAGAGAGGATGAAAATAAAGCTAGGCATCTAGGGTGGCACAACTTGAACACAAAGGTTGAGCTGTTCAGCTGCCACAGCAACAACAGAATTTTAAATCTTTATCTCTTTTACTTTTCAATTTATCCTCCAAGAAAATTCTTTTAGCCTAAACTTCTTATTTTTTCATGTTTAGGATAGTGCACAAGATAACCCATCTTTTCTTCAAAACAATATCCTACAAATCATACATTAGAAGTAAGACAATATAAAGATCTTTACTACAATACTAATTTTAGATTTTTCTATAATTCTACCATTTAATCCTGAAGAGAATTCCCTGCCAAGCCATGGATTAATGACACAGCAAGAAATGTGAGATAACAAAGAATCTTCTAAATTGATGTCCTCATCAGTCAAATATAAACTACAATTATTATAGTACAAATCTCTCCACTCTGAAACAAAAGCATGATAACAGCACAAATCTCTCTAGTTCTCAACAAATGCTAGATAACTTTACTGTGAATTTTCAACTTAGGATCCATCCCAACACCATAACATCTCATTGAAGAGATGGATGGAGAAGGATAGCCAGCTTCAAAGGTATTCTTAAACATGGTGAGTTGCTTGTTTCAGATAACGTATATTAAAATATCCAAATCATAACAATAGTTTGTCATAATGAAACTCTGAGTATCTATAACACAACATAATTATCAGATTGATATCAAGCCAACTGATACCCCACTGATGAATATGGCCAGCCTTGGCACACAAGTTAAGCTCTTAATGATGCTCTAGAGAACGTCTGCTTCATAGTACATTAGCCTAAATGTTTATTTAGCAATAGAAGGTTTATCCTTGCTGTCTCCATCATATTATTTGTCTTCAAAATTCAAATAATAAACCAGAATGCTTGGGCCCATTACATAATTATTACATGGCTCAAATTAGTAAGGCATTTCTAACAACCAAAAGGAAATAATATGAAACCATAAGGCATAAGAACTGACCTTAATGAACTGACCATATGTAACACGTTGGCTGTTAGGGTATCTATAATATACAGCAAATCCTGGCATGTTTCCACATTCCCGCTCATAAATAGATTCATCACTCTGGAAAAGAAGCATGATCAACATTGGCCATAACAACAGGCTAACATCATGCCATGTTGCAATTCATGAAGTCCAAAACAACAAAGTAATAAGACGAAGAAAAACCAGAATAACCAATAAAGTCGTGGTTCACCTTCCAGTAATATGCAATCTTCAATGTCTCATACAAAAATCTACCAAGTCTTCCTGCTTCATATTCAGTGCAGCAGCATATCATGGGTTGTAATGTTTTGCAAATCAAAACATCAATATGGTTGACAGTGTTGAAAAAAGGGGTTCCGAGAGAATGAAGTGTATGAACAAACATGGCACAATAAACAGCATCCGGCATACTGAAGGTGCAGCGAGGAAAAATACAGCGCTGAAGGAACTCCATGTTAATCTTTAAAGTATCAGGACAGGAACTCAACCATTTGTCCTTTTCTCGAGATAGCCGTCTACGAACAGATGCAACATTTTCTTCATGCTTCTGAAGTTCACTAGTCAAACGATCTAAAGCTTCTTGAATTCTTTCCTTATCTTTTTTCCTTTTGGCAATTGCTGAACTGGAATTATCAGAAAGCTCTTCTAGAGCCTTAAGAGCAGCATGCTGCTTTGCTATTTCAGCCTCATAACGGTTTCTAGGAACATAAAGATCATACAGCGTCAGCCCCCAAAAGGCAGCATAGAGATCAGGGGAAAGGCTATTCCAGGCTTTTGTAGGCAACATACTTTTAACAGTGTCAAGAAGATCAGACCATCTGCAATCAGCAACAAGGTGGATTCAAAAAGGTATCAGGGCAAAGAGTACTTCAGAAAGTTCTGGGAATTGTTTCTAACAATTTATCTTTTCCCTCCTTTTCTTTTTTTCAGAAGGTTTCTATCTCATTTAGATCAAGAGAAAACTTCAAAGACAATGCTACAAAATAGAGTATTGAAACAAAGTTAAATTTATTACAATATAGGCTTGCGAGAAGGATCCAAATCCAGTAGCATTTTGCTGGAGTCTTCCTCAGATTCCAAATCTGCGTTTTCCATAATGGTATTTGCACTATCATTGCCATCCAAAGGCCAGAAAACATCAGAACTTACTTGACACTTGAAGAGCCTCATTACAGGACGATATATCAAAAATGCAACCTACACAAAGAACAAACTAAGACATTAAATCCATTCAGGCATAATTAACACTACTAACTAATAATACTTTACAAGTAACTGGGTCCCTGAACAAAATAACATGAAAGATTACCTTTCTTATGGTAATTAGAGAAAAAATAAAAATTCTATTAATCATCTATGAAGTAGACAGACTTCAAAAGCTTAGTAGCAAATACATTAATCCCCATTTTGTATTTCACTTTTAGTAATTGGGCTTCCATTTATTATATATAATTTTTCAAGTTTGTAATATTCAGATAGCCTTTGGGAGTTTAGGTTTAATAATTCAAGCCCTAGCAATGCAAGACCATAACAAGACTATCTTATACTTTATTTCTTACCACCAAGAATGAGGAGTCTTATTTTAAAAGTATACTATTTAGAAGGTGGCATTAGAATCCTGCCAAGTATCCTCTCGACAATTTGGAAACTCTACAATTCAGTTGAAGGTAACATAGTCCTTATAGTTGAATTTATTATAGAGCCTCATTAAGCCTGCAGAAATTCTGAGATAGAATTGACAAAGGGACATCCTGGTTTATGGAAATTATCTGCAACCAGCATTCTTAAATAAGTGACTCCTAACTAAACAATGCAAGCTATTATTAACAAATCAAACTCGTCTAACCCCTAGTTAAGAGTCTTAAAACTTTCACTTGGGCAACACATGCTACTGAATTCCTGCTCCAAGACCAACAATTATACAACCTTTAACAATTAAACCCTCATTGTTAAGTCTAAGCTCACTGTAGAAGACTCTTTGGCAGAATTTCTCAAATCAGTCCTACATAACACACACATTTGAGAAAGAGAAAGACCTCAGGATCTAGATGATACTGATGTACTAGATCATCAAGTGAGGGAATTAGAAGAGCATAAGAGGTGGCTGGAGTCACTGCACTGCAAAGGAACTCTACATACTGAAGAAGAGTCCCATGACATCTGTCAAACTGCTCGCTGACCATCTTAATATAAGGAGCATCTGCATTTATGACAACCCTGCATATGATCATACAATTAGGATAAGTCCTCAACAAATCACCAGTTTTGCATTAGACATCTTCTCAACCTACCATATTTCCTTTTCCTCCCTTTTTTTTTTTTTTTATTGATTGGCTGCCCAGCATAAAATTTAACTTCCTGGTACTAATAACTGATTAAGAAAACCTTAGTACTCGTTTGTACTGGCAAAAATTGCTATATAAGGGTTTGAGTGCCCCTTGTACTCACATATATAAATTAACTTATTGCTGATAAAAAAAAAAATGACTAAGAAAACCTTCGAGAATATAAAACTGATGTGAAAGTGGGAACCAGTGTATATTCTTTGAGGAGGAAAATAAAAAAATAGAAAATAAAAAAAAAAACCATTACAGCATGGAATAAGTTATCCTTGATGAAGATGTGGTCAGATTACATCATGAAAAAGATCCTCCTAGGCAAAGCCATGCAAATAGAAAAGGAATTGCATCATAAGGAATTACCAGTATAGATATGCTTAGTAAGATATCCACTGAAACCCTTTTTACATAATTGACATAAAAAAAAATGTCATCAAACAAGCAAATATGAAATTACAAGCAAAAGAAGAGTACAAACAACCATCTCTAGTACAATGAGACTTGAATTTATTGAAAAGAGTATCCCTTATATGCAGAAACAACTTACACTGAACGGTGTTGAGCAATAAGTAACAAAAGTGGAATAGCCAACTTTGGTTCATCCCTTGGAAGCAAGGAGTCTCTTAACCTGTTGGTCGATTTAATCAAGGCCTGCATCCACAGATATTCAAATGTGGAAGTTCACATGTCAAACACCATGAAACAAATTTTCCATTATAAATGCAAAGCAAAACATACAGTAAAAATTCATAACAGAAACTCATCCAAGGGTGAAATTAATCACAATTATCAAATGATCAATTCTTTATGAAAGAATAAATCATGTTCAATAATAGCAAGCAGGTAGGGGCTTCATTGTTGAAGGCCACAACACAAAGACACCTCAGTAAGAAAATTTGCAGAATATATTATCTGAATCAGATAACAACATAAAATCATGGATTCATATCAAAACTGCAAAATTTAAAAGCACAAATTGAGGTCCTCATCCTCGCAAAGAATTCTCACCTAAAAAAAATCATTTCCCTAAGATCCAATCATAAGACAAAGAAAGTGACAAAAGAATAATTGGTTTTGATTCAAGCTATCTAAACAATCAACCAGACATGCTATTATAGCAGGGGGAAAGTCCTAATGATAAAAAGAACATCAAATAATTCGCAGCATAACTTGCACAATGCAGGGCCTAAAATCAAAATTTTGACAAATAACCTTATTATTTCTAGTTACACCAAATGATGTTGCCTGATATCGAAGAGTCTCACTACCCGCCATAGCATCCAACTGCTCCTCAGTTAGGTTCTCAGTGAACTGGACATTTGCCATTTGTTGAATCAGCTCCTGACAACCACAGAAATGCAAATTATTGATTTCTACCCTCAGGCCATATCCATGGATTTAAATTTAATATTTAGAACTCAACATACCTGCAGGAGAACAAGCTCAATTCCTTGCCCCTTTTTTAACTGATTCACTAGATACTGGAAGAGACCTCTCAACTCCATTGATGGGTATTTCTTACACCTACAGACAAGGGGAAATCGTTTTAGCAAAATCTGAAATATAAACACAAATAAGCTTTGTTAAAAGTCAATAAAAGACTTACAAATCTAGTCCCATCTAAACTAAATGATAAATAAACAGGAAACAGTGTTTTTAACAAATTAAGCTCCTTTATTTAGAGTATTAATAAACTAAAAAAGCAAGTCAACCAAGGATCAGACTAAGCAAATGGAAATTCAAAAAAAACAAGCATAAGAGAATCAATGAAACAAAAGTTGCTATTGCAGCTCAGACTGTCCCAAAGGCACCCTACCAACCCTTAAAACAAATTTCTTGTTTCGTAAATTACAACTGCAAGCTTATATAGCTCAGCATAAGCATGAAGAAAAACGGTCTTCAAAATCTCTCCCGTGATCATTAGAGAGGCTAGAAGCAATGGCAAGATTATCTTCTCCATACTCTTTAGGTATTGGATTCTACCTCGCTAATTTTCTCCCAAGTCCCATTATCTTGCTTGATTTAACTTCTATAGGAAGTTGAATCTTCGTATGACCAGGAACCATATGTTATTGAAGTGCAAGCACTGCTCTCCCATTGTCAAAACTACCTGATCAATCTTCTTGTCACCATTGTATTGTGACAATAGAAGCACGAATGTGAAGCCTGGTAGATATCCTGAACAGGGGGCATCTCAAAATATTTCAACCGGCTATTGACTATCCTAATTGGTATTGACTCCTTTTTCTTCTTCCCATTTTTATTGTTTAGATTGCAAAGTAGTACACTCCCAAAAGGAAACAGGGCCTCAAATTGATAGAAAAAATCACAGGAAAACAAGATGACAAGAATTCAATTTTTTGCATCACCAAAAGTAAGAAAGAAACAAAAAGAAAACACCACAAGTTAATGACTAAAAACCATCCCATGAGGGGCATTAACGATACTTAGCATCCAGCAAGGTCACCTAAAGTTAGAATCAGTGCGTGTAAACTACAACATTAAAACCAGACTCAACCATATTATACTAAGCTACATGGAGAACAGAATCCCAAATTATTTATAAGACTACCACCTTGGGAGCACCACTCACAAATATGCAACCCAAACAACAGTCTTCACACATGCATTATCAAAAAATGAAAAGAAAACATAATAACCGAGACAAGCCTAACATTTTAAATCACCATGAACTCTACTCTATTTGGAGGTAAAACAGAAGCATGCAAGACAAAATTTGACATGATCAGGATTCTTTATTCCAAAGAATGCAAAAGTGCAAAAATATAGATGCAAAGAGAGGAAAGCAAAGCACATGGTGAAACAAGATAAACAAACACATGAATAAATGTAGAGAGATTGAAACATTTTATTAGCTATTCATGTCAATACATCCAAGGGTTAAGAAAGAGAAAGAGGAGTAGTAAGAGACAGAAAGTTATGTATGAAGTCATGACAAAAAAGTTGGCAACCCTGGGGTTTATTGAGAAAAATGGCTAATAAAATGTGTAAAACATTCTAATTTTACATTGGCTTAATCATATCCCATCCCTTTTATACATTTCCAAACATACTGGTTTCATTGCAAAACCAAACAGCCGTCATGACGCTGAGAACTTAGTTGTACAGAACTCAACAGTACAATGCACCCCCCCCGCCCCCCACACCACCTTCAGATTGTTGCCAGAATTTGAATTTTACTTCAAGAAGTTGCAAGATCCACTCTACATCTCAGATATTAAGGTGAAATGTACTTCCGTACATTTCTTTTCATGACCGGCAACCGAATACCAGCTATGTCCACCACACAATCATGAAGACTCATTAACTCCTGAACCACCGAAGAACCCATCATCAAAACAAGCAAAGCCAGCAAATATCATAATTGCTCCCTGCACAGTCACAATTCCTCAAGCACACAATAGCATCTCTCAACTGAGAACAAAACTCTTCTCCACTCTCATTGATGTTAAATTGTGACAAACATACATTTTCTTCAATGCTCCAGTGGCAACTAACAGGTATGGGCAATCACTAACCAGAAGAGACAAGATGAAGGAAGTGAAAGCTGACAAGATAATTGTAGCACAATCCAAAAGAGGAACTGATAGTTTTAGCCCTCACTTAAACATAATGCTCCACATCATGCCACAGTGGTAATAAGACTAGCACTATTGATTGATTAGATGCCAAAAAAAGAAATGCATCACATTGCATTTTCCCTCAATGAAAAGCAAAACTTTGACTAGTATCTCCATCAACTCTGGAAGCAACATTTTTAAAAAAGAATATCTTCATGTTGTCTCCGACAGACCGATCTTACAAGGTGAAATTATTCAGATACTATGATCACAATACCAGCCAGCAAAACAGTTCCAGTCTGATATAAATCTTTTTCTGTTGTGTTTTGACAAACTAACCAGGACTGTTTCTCCCTGCTTACCAGCCTTTTAACAGAAGCTGACCTTTCACAATGCCATCTTTTGATCAGACAATATTTTCCACCAAACTAAACTGTATTTGTGTTTCATGTCACACTTTTTAACAATGTATTTTTCATATAAATTGAATGACTGATTAAACATCTCAATTTGGCAAATCCATTCAGCCCTCAGTTACAGAACCCTATGCAATTCCCTTAGCGATGGTTGCCAAGCTGGCAAGCCAACATACTTATCTAACCACCAAAGATGGTGCTAGAAAAATCAAGAATGTCCACCAATGCCCAGTTCCATTCACCTTATATTTGCCAGTTTAATCTGCTACCTGGCTAAATGTATGGCATCAAAAGATCTACATTCTTTACAGAACAGTATCATGAAGAGCTTTAACATCCAATACTTATGGTTTTGGGCAAAAGAAGCATACAGATGAAGAAACAGCTCAGAATAGTTAGCACAGCATGCAACATAGACAAACACCAGGTACCAAAGTTTTTGCTTGAGACGGAGACAATAAAAAAAAAACAACAAATAGATAAAAGGTAACAACCAGAAAATGACCAAACAAGTTGTCACTTGTAGCAATACTTAGAAACAAGAAGATTTAAATTTCTGTCACCATATTGCAATACAAATGTAATAAATTCTCCTAAGATACCCTAATTAGGAAGAGAGATGCGATAAATCATCTTCAGTAGTTATATATCTCAGCACAGAAAACATAAGAAACCACTGATTAAGGCATTGGTCAACTACACTTACAGGTGACCCCAAAATGATGCCAAAGACTGAAGCCAATCTGATAAATTTAAGCCATCATCCTTCAGCTTATCACGCCCTCCTTGTGCCAAGCGTTCAATCACAACATATTCCAAGACATCATACTCGAGCTGTATAGAGAAGAATGAAATTAATAAGGATCAAGACACAAATATATATGCATTCATATATATATATATATATATATATGGTTACAGCAAACAAATGAATATCCAAGTTGAAAGGTTCAGATTTGCACCAAAAACCAATGAAGACCAGTTTTGCTTAAAAATCAATGTGAGAACATGATCTTAGCCTTTAAATGCTGTGAGCAGGAAAATAAAGAAGAAGAAGAAGAAGAAGAAGAAATTCAGGTGCCTAATTTTAAATGCAGTTTCAAAATTCCACTAATATTTAAAAGTTAGAACAACATGGCAAGAAAACACTGCTAGGTAGAAGATTATTGCTTTATCACCAAAAATAAATTAACAAAAATTTCAATAGCATAAACAAAGAATGAAGAAAACTCCTAAGGAACATGCACTATAAAACTCATACCTGTGTCAAATACTTGAATGCATCAACAACAGGAGTAATCATATCCCTGTATGCTTCTATCTGCACAAGTTCAAGAGAATAATGTGTCCTTGCACATAACACTCTGTGATGCCAAAACAATTAGAGTATAATACACCAATAGAATACCTGGTGAACAATGGTTCGAAGCACTGTCATTGGATTGGCATGAGCAAGTTTTGCAACCATACGGCCCAGCTGCTTTAAATTTTCTTTTGCTAGCCTTTTCAGAATTCTTCTAGTGTCAAGCTACAAAAATAATATTTTGTACTAATTAATTTATTGAAGCACACCAAACTTAATGACAGAAATAAAAGCATCTCTAAGGCAAAAGTTGTACCTTTGCTGTCTGCCTTGCAGCTAACAACATTGGATTCCGCTCATCATCCTTTTCCCATTCACCATACAAACGATACCGCACCTAAGTAGACAAGATATATTTAGCCAGACTGCCTACAATATCTAATATTCTGAAATGGAAATGTCAGAAAAGAATACAAAACACAAACCTCATATGGAAGGAGATTCATTACTTCCCAGATCTCCTGCCCAACAGACGG